CTGGTAAATTTGTCCATGTAGAGCCAGCTAAAGTGTGCAATGTAAGGTATTGCCACTTTTAAGTGGCGTTAAATGGCTTAAAAAAACAATACATAATCATAGCCTAGGTTGGAATGATGTTCGTTTATTGAAAGAAGGCCAGCCTATGCCTAATAAGTGATTTTTTTATTCTACCAACACATAATTTTTACTGGTTGGTCAGTTATTTTTACTAGTAAAATTGACGGCTAAAACAGCTTCAGGAGAATACTGGGTTAAGCTGCAAGGTAGAAATGTACAGTACTCCAAGACGTCATCAGAAGATATTGGTCTACACCACCCAAGACAGGACTGGAGGTACAAAGATCAGAAAATGTATTAAGTAGTAATGTTGAATGGAAAGCCATGTTGTTGAGTTGAATAATATTAATTACTGCATGGCAGGCCTAATGCAGGGCATTATTGATTAGGGCTAAATCTGTCTACGAGGAACCGCAAAGCACAGTGCAGAAACTAAGACTAACACAAAGCAGATATCCTTGCCATTGTTTTAGGGATTTGCTTTAGTTGAGAAAATAAAGCTGGGTAGTGGTAACACAGCTGTCAACCTGATACATATATTCTTCTGATAAATAAAAACATTGTATCTAATGAAGCTTCTGCAGCAGGTAATCTAGTTAACTGTATTATAAAATCAGGAATAAGTCCATTAGTACAACCTATTACTACTGTACACTGTTTCCACCAGAGCTAAGCTCCATTACAATTATGTCCATAACTAACTCTAGTTTTTAATAAATCTACACTGGAAACTAACAGTGAAAAAGTATCTTCAAGAAAAATGGGTTATACAGAAAGCAAAAAGAGTTACTGTGTACCTAGAAGATAAAATGGTGCAGAACTATGCACCTGGTATGCAAAATATTAAGAATCAAGGAGTTTAGAGATTGTCCAAAATAAAGATGAATAAAAATATATTATCTTTCAACACGCAATAGGTTTTTACTGAGGGTTTCAAGCAGGAACTGTATTCTAAAATAGCTCAACACAAAGCTTTAATGATAAATAACAAAGGATTTGTTTTATAGGTCTGCAAAATGTTTGCACATAAATAAGCAACAGTTAGCGCTGGATGTACAATTCTGAATCACCATCAATCTGAAACCATGATTTATCAATGGTGGTAAAGATACCAACAATTAAAAAGTGTTTATATTTTAATAAATATTTTTGGAGGGTGGCAGGCTTTCAGAACATGTCATGCCTTAGATATACATTAATCGATGTGAACACCAAGGGAAACCCACAGAAATCCAAAGACATATTTTCAATGGGGTCCATCTGGTAGTGGCAATAAACTAGGAAACAAATCTGTATCTTTTCCGAAGAGTGTAGTGCATCATTTAACATGCTCATGGGCAATATTGCATGAGACCAAACAGCTTAAACGTCTCTAAACGATGTGCACAAAAGGAGAACAGCGGATGGAATTGAACTGGGTACCAAAGGTTAAAAACGGACATCCATAGTTTAGCGCACACACACACACAAGCTAACTTTTGCTGAGCTATGCATTAAGATTAATAATCTTCTGGTAATATTTGGCCATTAATGTCTAAATTAATGGAGCAGTGTGCAAGTCTATCTATTCTAATAAGACTTGCACATACAGTGTAAATGAACTACTGTATTATGGTACACTGCTACAATTATTAATTACCTGCGTCAGAGCTTAAAGATGATCTAGATGATGCTGGTGATTCACACAAAGACAGACGTCTTCTTGGTGTTCCCCCAGCACTGCAAAAATGAAATCAACCTTTGATTACTTAGGTTATAAATATGATACTAGTCAAGATTTCTCTTATTAGATTGATTCAAGTTACAAATTAGAAAACACAATTAGTACTGCACACTATTTTACAATTGTTATAAAGTATCTACAACTATGTTCATTATTATCCGTAAATGGTAGAAATAATTTAAATAAAACCACATTATACTTTTAACCCATTAGTTGAAGAGTAATGTACACTCTGCTTTATGTGGATCATTAAAACCATAATTTAATAATACAGTTGAACTTGCCTAAGTTAAATCCAAAATGCCATTGAAATATTGTTCAACTTAGATAAAATTTGACTTACAGATTGTTAATAATGGAAAACACATTAATTTGGCATGTACAATAAGATCAACTTAGAAATTATTCAACTATTATTATTATTATTAACTGTAGTAATTTCACTTTGAAAGAAACACATTATTATTTATACTTCCTTGAGTTTTATGTGAATCAAATGTTTGAATCAGTTTTGCTTGATTATTTGAAAAAAAATACATGAAATAAACCTTGGTCTACACTTAACATATAAATAATACAATATCATCATAAGCACCCTCTGAGCTGAGACATTATTATACTGTTAACAAAAAGAGGACCCATACTGATACAGTATTCCATTTTTTTTATTAGAAGTCTGATCCCCTGATGTTCTACGGAAAAAACTAAATATTGAAAATCAATATGGGTTTTCTTAATGTTTGTGTTTTTAAGAGTGTACAATTTTTATTACATATATAATGGTTTATAAATTTCAACGTACCACGACAGACCAATCAGACTGTGTGCAAGGCTACTCATTGGCGATTCTACAGCATTTTTGCTAAAGCAAGGGGAGCATACATCTTTAGCTGCAAGTGATAAAGACAACCTTTTCTTAACAGGAACTGGTGTTTCCTCCATTTTTTCAGGAAACTATCTGCTTGTGGCAAACTTTAGTTAATTTAAGATTGCTTTTTTGAATGGCAATCCAACAGCTTAAATGGTGCTATCTGAAAGAGAACAAACATATAAGTTAGTAAATGTTCTACCCAAGCTAGGCCTTGCCTAGGTTAGTTAATTTGTAGTAGTCAAGCCAGATCCTACAGTATTCCTAAAATAGACTAGCCTGTTAAAATGATAAATTCAATATAACGGTACCACTAGCCTTCTCAGGTCCTAATAGTACACTAGGTAGATTATTAAATGTGTAAGTTTTAGGCGTTAAGCCTTTTAGACCCACCAACAGCATCCAAGCATTTCTTGAAAGTGTTCACAAAAACAACAGATAATAATAACTTCTGGAAGATATTTTAAAAGTAAAACCAAAGTTCCTGTGGGTGAAATAGTACAAAATATTATTAAGGCCTGATTGAAAATATTATTTTATTCATTATTTTGTAATCACAAACCCTACCTACCTGCGAATACCCTACCTAGGCCTCTACTAGCCTAGTAATAGTAGTAGTCTAGAACTGAAGGCCTAGCATAGGGCTAGGCCTGGCTAGGCTGGACTGCAGGCCTAGGCTAGGCTAGGGCCTATATTATAATTATATTTATACTATATTATAGGTCTAGCCTACTATGGCTACTACTACTATATGTATGTACAGATCAGCTGTTGCTATAGCCGGCTGAAATTAGGACTAGTAGTTTATCAGATGTCAGCCTAGCTAGGCCTACCCTAGGTAAAACACCCCGTTTTCTAGCCACTGACAAGCAGGAATTTACTGCTCAATCCCCGGCGCCTGGTGGTGAAATCCACATATTTTGTATACACATGACAAAAAGACAGAGCAAACAGTCAGTAGTTAAAAGCATTGCTATGGCTAAACATACTTGCTTCAACCAATATTATAAACTATTCGTAATTTGTCTCCGTTTACAACAAGTGAAAGATAGTAAAAAATGAACAAACTATCTCATCAAGATGCTCCTCCAATTGTTTACCGCCATTCATTTGAAACATAACAAGGGAAATATAAATCAAGGGAAAGGGCAACCTTCTCTAAAATCGCTACACGCATGCGCAAACTTTATTGCTCAGTCCATTTCAACCGAGATTCAAGAATACAGACTGTAGTAGTAGTGGTGGTAAGTGTAGTAAGTACAGTACCACATTTTAAAAATATATATTTATTTAAAAACTTTGATCTTGATTACGATTATTAATCAAAAGCAAAGTAATAAATATATAACCTTAAAACAAATAGTTTTTTAATTATAGGTGAGGATATGTAACAATTGAATTACCCACCCCCGGCAGAAAATAGATTATACTTCACAATGTAGCAAATAAAAACAAAATTTTCATTGCAAAATAGTAGAAACCCACTTCTGTGTAATACATCAATATATAAATAGAATGATATTTGTACATACAGGAATTATCAATCTCCATGGTGCAAAAACGTCAATGCTCTCCTCCTCCTCCTACCTACCCTTGCTTAAGAAGCTCATTAATATGGATGATGAATATGCAATAGGCCCTAGGTAAGTACGCTTTCTTTTGAACCTACTCTTTGACCTCATCGTCATCGCTGGATTTCGCGCGAAATTTGACGGCG